TAACATTTAGTGACATTTGCGTATAACAAATTTTGTTAATAAAAATCACAAACAGAAATGTACAGTCACAGGAGAGTCGTCAAACTTCGATATGATGTGAATAATGTCATAATGATGGATACCTCAGACAGACGTAAAGATCAATCTGCGAGATATTTGCTTTTTATAAAGATAGTATATTATTTAATTTTTATAAGTAATCAATACTTATACTCCGCTGAGAATCATTCGTTTTGAATAATGCATATCTTTAAAAAAAAATTAATTCGTAATAAATGCCTATTTTTGCTTTATAAATAATTATATTATATAATATTATTTCACTTGTAACTAAATTTATTGTTTCTGCAAATTTACTCTCTTTTTGAAACCATAATTAATCTCGTAGATGAAATAGATAGAATCGTTAATGTAATTCATAATTATTCACTTGAAATGTGAGTATACAAACTGGATAAATTTAAACTAATTTAACTATTAGCTATTTCATTTAGCTAATTTAGCTATTTAAACTAATTAAATTAATAATATTCCTAGAGTGATTTTCGATTTTGTCGACAAAAGTATAAAGATGATTATCGGTACCAGTGCAACCAGCCATGTTAATTAAAGGCATTTATATTAATTAAAAATAAAAATTCTAGTTTTTTGTTAGTATCTGTTAGTTATTTCTTGTCGTTGATAGGTAGCGGTAATTATCGTGCGTTCTCGGTCATTAATATAACGCATTCATACCTCTGTATACGTTCAAGAAAAAAAGAAGAAAAAAGCGTAACGTTAAAACAGAAAGAACAATGTGATCTTTCGAGACGGCAAAAATTCGTGAGAAAAGAAAGTCCGAAAGAATTTTTAGCGCTATAACAGTGCGTGTGCAATAAGCGTATGCGAAAAATATAATACATACTTTACGTTTACGACATACAAAGTATAATAGATACAATGTAGATACAACTGTAATTATGTTAAAATTTAATATGCGATATAAAAGATATCTAAAAGATGTTTTACTTTATAAAACATCTTTTTTTAATTAAATATTATTTTTTTCGAAAAGATGTTTTATAAATTAAAAAAAATTTTAGAATAAAAAACTGCATTGCATTAGTATTATTGTATGTAACACCACTAATTTATATACTTCGCATATAATCTAAGGTGTGCTTGTTTAGTTTCTCGTGCAAAAACAATAACTATTTTGCAGTAAAAATAAAGCAAACTATACATTTATAAAAAATGTACTTACTAGATTGCATTGTGCAATTTTTCTGCATCCTAGCAAAAAAATATTTGTTTCACACATGGTCGTCAATTTTTCTATTCTTAGCTCGCTAGATTGATAATGGTTTGTCGCAGGATACTGTTGTACAATTGCCTTCCTACGACTTCCGGTACTCGCCGGTATGGAGGTCGGTGATTACTTTTTGTCGGAAGTTCGTTGGTACGTGGGAATGGTGGGGACGGTCAGTGAAGTCAAAAGATTGTGCTACGTTGTCACAAGGTAATCACGGCTTCCAATGTCTCTTAATTGTCTTAAAATTTAACACGAGTCTCTCAGCAATTTTTACAACTTTTCGTACATATGTTTTGCGATTTTTCTTACATCAATCGATTTTATTATATAAAGAATGTAAACATACATTCTTTAGAATGATAAATACGTATATATGCATCTCTGAAGAAAAGATAAAAATTATAATGAATGCCGTAATAGAAGTTAGGAGAAATACAAAATGTGACGACAAATTGTGTAACGATCAGTCTACGTTGATACGCTGAATAAACGGACCGAATGAACAAGATGGGTGAAATGTGAATGAGAAGGGAAAGGACAATGTCCTAGGGTGGATGCTTTAATGCTTGCGAGAACCGAGTTTCGTTTTAGGACGCACCCTTGCGTATCGACGCGCAGCGAACCACGATTTTGCTAGTTATGTATGTATTTCCTAAATCGACGTTCGCGTATCCGTAAGCAGCAAATTTCAACGATTGAAGACAACTTAAAGTAGATCGTTCATAGGAAATCTGAATATTAATAATTAACTTGGAAAGTATATTCGCGACTTGTTCTTCAATAAATTCCTGCAATTCAATATTGATGCATAAAAAAATATCGCCCGCGTTTTCACCAGGTTTCGCGCTAAATGCGCTATCCGGCCCTCATCTTCTCGCATCGACGTGGTTAAACGCGACGTTCAGCACGTCGCAGAAGAATTCGCGATCGAACGATCATGTTTGACACTAAACGCGGCGTTAGATAGAGTCCCCACCACATTAATGCGGTCATGGTAAAAACACGGAAGTGTCAGATCGCGGGGGATAATCTAGGATACGCGCCGTTCAACAACAAGACAATAACAACAACACACTGTCGTCACCGTGCGCCGTCACATTGACGACGAGCCGTCATCGAGCCGCGTTGCACGTGCGCCGTGCACCGGGTATATCGGCGGCGGCGCACAGGGCAAAGTGCATTGTGAGACTGCTGGCGGATGCAGCGCCGGTGTCCCGGCTTTCCTATGCAACGCACTGCACCCTGCCTCCCATCCTCCCGCCGCTACCTCCGTTCTTTCGCCCCGCATCACCCCCCTCCCTCCCTCTTTCTGCTTCACGCCATCCCGTTCCTCGATTGTGCGCGCATCGCCGACGCACCGACCATGTGACCATCCTCTTTAGCTAGACCGATTACCGCACCGTCGACGACATCTCCTCATCCCATCTTTTCGCTCTATTTTTTTACCTATCGCTCTTCCTTCTTTGTTGCACGACTCGATCGTAATTTGAGACGATTTCTCGCTTTCAACAATTAGCAAATATCAGATTTTATAGCATAAAGCTATTGATATAATTAGTAGTTACATATAAAAATTAAAGATTCATAAAGCCATGTTAATAAAATATCATTTTTCTATTAATGTGTTTTAAAAGTTTTCTTAATTAAGATTAAGTATAAATCATTTGGGCGTCAAACAAAATTTATAATATTAAAGTTTTCTATTTGTTTGTACTTCTTGCTATCTTAACGGAGCTAACTAGCTTTTATTTCTTTATGCATTGCAGTATATCTATACATTTCCGGTTCTAGTTTCAAAGTATCACTAATTATATTTTGAATCCTATTGTCTACGTCTCTACGGACGCTAATTTTCCTGAATAGAGAGTAAATCCTCTCTCTTTCTCTCTTTCTTTCGCACCTCGCATTCCACGCGATCGCCGCACGCGGACGCATCTGCATCTTCGTTCGTACTTCGCTTCCTAGGATTTTTCGTCCCCTTTTCTCTCCCTACGTGGTGGAACGCGGTTCATGTTCCTCTACGATGACCAACCGTTTCTGTCTTCCGCTCGCGAGCGAGCGAGTGAGCGGCGGCAGATGCGCGTCCGCTTCTTCGCCGTGTACTTCTCTATATAGCTCTCTCGCGCTCTACGTGGAAACGGACGTGTACCGTCCGTTCCACCGGAATGCCTCCTCTTCGTCTTCCCCGCTTCTCTCTACTCCGCTGGACTCTGCTAGCCACTGCGTCACTTCTGTTCGCCTCATGCCGCTCGTTCTCTTCGTCGCTCTTTCGATTTTGCAACGAACAGTGGCGGATTCACACATCGCACTGGTCTAAGCATGTTAATTTAAAGTTATCTAGTCAAGATTTACAGAGGTTTTTCTTAGGTTCATTTTTTACATTATGCTTCTTTACATTTAACGAAAGAAAGTTGACAACGAATGCTGGAAGTCTAATTGAACAAAATAGACTTTAACAGGTCCAATGATATTGCTAGTTTAACCAATATATTTTTTTTTTTAAACGAATCGAAATACAATATTTGAAATACTATGTCTATAAGTAACATATAAAGCTGGTTCTACTTTTATTTCGTAATAATATATTGCTTCGTATAAATATGTTGCGTATCTCGTACAAATATCATATTATTTTAAACTGCAAAAAGGGTTAGGCAGTTCATATTTCTTGTCACAACAATGTTATGTGAAGTATAGTTATAAAATTGAAGTATAGTTAAATAATTCATGCAATTATTTTTATCTTATTGTTTATCCTTTATAGAACAAACAGATTTTAAAATGCTTTAAACAAAAAATTTGTTATTCCGTCAGAAAGAAATTAACTCAATGTAATTTTATTGTACTTTCTCAATCTTTCGTTTTATATATAGTTTTACAAAAATATAATAATCTCATTATATTTTTATTTACTATTTATCCATAAAATGGAATACTTTTATGGAATCTTCTATACGCAACATACGGTTTATGCAATTGTTGTTTCCTTAAAATGTGAAATGCCATCAAAAACGATATTTCACATCTTAATGCTCTGCACAGAGCAACCCCGAATCTAATCCTAAGTCCGCCACTGTTCCCGAACTGGCATCCTTCTCGGTCAGTGCGCCCTACCACTTGCAGCACCGCGCATTCGCTCGCACTCGCACCGAGAAACTAAACCGGCGATGTGGTCGTCCTTGTTGCACGCCGCTCAGCTCCATTCATGTCTCGGTTCTCCTCGGATTATGCAACTCCGGTGAGAGACGCGAAGCGAGGGATGCGCCGCACTGCACCGACACCGCGCGCCGTCACTTTACCGCGTCTGAGCGGCAGCGAGAGCTCGGGTAACTTACCGTCGACGTTCGCTCGTACGACAAGTGCTTCTTCTTCCTTCTTCGTGTAATACCACCCATTACACTCGGATCGATTACTTTTCAAAGGAAATATTATTTCTAGATCTCTTATTTCTTATGTAAAAAATTTACCTCTGTAAAATTGGCCCATTTTTTAAATTTGAAAAAAATGATTAGAGTTCTTCTTTTTCTTAAATTTAAAAAATGGGGGTCAACTTCACAGAGGTGAAAAATTTTCATTATTATGTCGGATAAAGTGACGGGAGCGGGATTGTTACGGAATACATATTGTTTTTCATATTGGAAACAATTAGCAAATTAATCTCAAGTAGAAAAGGATGGAAATTCGTGGATGTGTTACATACGATATTACATACGCTTTAATGCACTTTTTTATTGTATATCTTTGTAAACCATTTAGCTATAACATTTGTGACGAATAAATATCTCTTGAATATTTAATGTAGAATAATTTTTGAGACAAATTAATAATTTTATTGTAGTAAAACAATAATAAACGGATAAGATTATTACTTCCGTTCCGTCAATTCATCGAATTGCACTGATTTCTTGCCGTGAAAAATAGCATAAGTAATCCTAATTAAGTTACGAAGGCACCTAATTTAATCGGGGAAAAAAATTCTTAACCGCAGCTTTCAATTGTAAAAATTATCAAAAAGATTTCACTTGTGTTCTACACACTTCTTTCATATTCTTTTATATTCGCGATTAAAAAGTATTTTTTTAAACATCTTATTATTTCTGTCAATATAGATTTTCTGTGCATCAAGTACTAATCAATCAAGCCGCAGGTGGGCGTAAATTTCAACAACTTACATAAACGGTCATACAAATTTTACAATTGACTCTACTGATTATCTAAAGTATAATACAATGTTATATCCATGTGATCACATGATCTGCGCAATTATATTAATTACAGACGATACATTTCGCTACAGCACCGCTCGTGGCACGCGTCGCAATCGCCGACGTGATGTCGTGCCGTCGACATTGATCGAGACGACCTTCGCTTCCATTATCGAAGCTTCTAACGGCTGATGCTCGTTTGCACTGGTTTAATATAAACCGAGCGTAGATGGTTTTCCGTACTCTTTGAATAGTAACTGTACCGATTGTCCGGATCAAAGATTGTCGAGAAGATCATTCCCGGAACGATAGCAAAAATGTCTTGAAAAAGGATACAATTGACTTTTGAATTGACAATTTTAGTCTTATGATGTGTGAATTTCACAGAAGTAACTAAACTCTATTAATAAATGCTTCAAATGGCAGTTTTTAAAACTATCGCGAGATAACGTTAATTAAAATGATTGAGATGCTATTATGCTATATAGAAAGATGCTTCTCGACATCAACGAATCCAGACGACCTGTTTAATATGAAATTAGTACGAGGAATATACTCTATGATTCTAAACATATAAATATAAAAACAAGGTGTTAGTGTTACATATGGCAAAAGTGAAAATCAATTAAAAATTGGTCGTTGATGTATGCACAAAATTCCAAAGTAAAACTAATTATTAGACACTATCAGCATGTTGATACTAATGTTGACAATCGTATTGCTTTTTAAAATTTGAGTCTGCTTTGTAGGAACCAATTTGTCATGTATCGAAGTTATTATTTTGCACGGGAATGCATCCACAATGTTTCACACACATCTTATTTTTATATCACGATTTTATATACATATGCGTGAATCGGTACACACGTATATTGCTAATACTTCAGTGGTCTATCGACAATGTATCAAAATATAGTCTCTATATCTTACATAAGTGTACAGCGTCGGAAATCGGATATCAATGATCGATCTGTACCTTTCAATTACTGCGAGTACAGGCATCGAGGAATATCGACTCGCGGTCGCTCTTAATAATAAAAACGGAACGTTACGCTCGTATCGTGCGTGCTGAGGATGGATGTTACATGTATAAGAAACCTATGTACATCGGAATGCGAAAATGTCTTAGCGCATGAAGATAAGAGCATAAACCTCTTATATCTATGTATGTATATTATACAACATATACTGTACAATATTCGTCTGCAAATTGTAAAGCGACATTAATTGCTTCGATCGTGTTTTATTGATACGTTATTTCTGTGTTTTTATCCTGCTTTATTATAAATTGTAAAACTAGAATTTGAATACGTTATATCTATATATAATTCGGATAATTGAATTGATTAAACAATATTGGAGAGACTAATAAGGATTATGTATTTGATTTAGTTAAAATTTTTTTAAGGAAGCACCATTGACAAGAGACGTGCGTCGGATTCTGCCAAGTACTCTAGTTTTATGTTAACGTTTATAGCGGCAATCTCGTTACGTGGATACGGAATAAACGCCACATCGCTATAGGAACGAAATCTGTGCGCGCAGTCTGTGATTAGAAAGGACACATTGTAACGCAATAAACATGCGTATAAATTTACCTTCCAGGCACGAGAATGAAGTAGGTGATTGCGCACACGAGGGACATATAAGAAGTTATGAAAGTCGTACTTTTCCCAGAGAGTTTCGTTTTAAAAAGATGCAAGCGGATCTGCGTAATGTAATGATATGAACTGTGTCCTCTCATTAAGGAAGAACCTACCGATAGATTACAACAATGATAATCAGAAACATACGAATGGATAATACGAATAACAACGATAGGTTTAGATTTGCGAATGAGAAACGACACGATAGAATTAAAAAGCTAGTACTTAATTTTCGATTTTTTTTGGAGGGAAAAAATACACAATATTGTTCCATAAAATAAATGCCGCAATTGAGGAAATATTTGTCTGCGAAAACTGCACATCGCCATCCCATATAATTTTGATACCTAATTTTTAAACGTCTATAAAAGGTCTATAAAAGGAGACGACATCCTTAACCTAGGCCAACGTCTAAGGACATCATCACCAGGAAACCAACGATGGCGGCCCAGCTGGCGAACTTTCCGTTTCCACTGTAAACAGAAAGCATGCGAGTCACTCGCATTAGGACTTCAAGCACAGACTCACGAACTTGCCCAAGTAAAGATTCAAGAATACGTTCCGTTTTAGTTTTCCTTACAATATTGAAAGTTAGTTGACCGTCTACGTTTTCTTTTTCCGAGACCTCACTTATAATTAGCTGAATAATTATGTATTCTGTATTCTGTAGTCAAAAGGTTTGTTACTTCTTGCATTTATTCTCTATTAAAAAAAAAACAAGATTGTGAATAACTCTAAGAAACATCTGAAAATTGATAGAAGCGCGTATTTTTTTAAATTTTTCTTTAAACATTTAAGCTTTTTTCAAATTGATATCTTGCGCGAGTGCAACATCGCGATTTGGTGGCGGCGTGATGCATGAACGGCAAGAGGCAGGAGGGGAATTTTAATTAGCGCAACCAGCGGCGCGCGGATTAAATGTAAAAATCGAAGGACGAAGAGAGGACGAGGGACGAAGGTGCGGGGAATTAAAAAGGCGGCACTGGCACCGTCGTCCACCGCTATCGTCGCTCTCTCTCTTTCTGTCTGCCTATGGCGCCGTGGCAACGACCGGGGAGAAAGAGAGCCCCAGGATGGCGAGAAATAAAAGGGTTTTCGCGGCAAGTAAGTAGGGATTAAGCACACACAAAGCACACACTCGCGCCGCGCCGCGCGTATATACCCCGGTATTGCACGTCACGGCTTGTTGATTTCGTAAATTATACACGGCCATCAATTTTAACGGCCGGCGAAACGCGCCGTTGTATTTCGGTGGGCGTTCTACCACATCAATCATATCCGCGCTGTAAATACCTCCTTTCGGTGTGCCTCAGAAAATTTGTATTTTTATTGGCCATTATCGTGTCTCATCGCAATAGTAGCCGAAACAATGTCGCCCTTCCCTGTCATCATTGCAGACGCTCGCTCGGCGAAACGAAGGCATCACGTCAAGTCAATCGCGTCGTGTTTCGCACACGCTAATGACGAGTCGATCCTTAATTCGATTTGTTTCTCATTTAGCATAATCCGAAGTAGATGATATTAACAAGACGTTAATTTTTCGAAGTACTTGGTAAATTTCTCGGTTTCTTGTGATCACAGCTGAAAAATTATTCACATCCGAATATTTGTGCCAAATATTTCAAATATCAATTACTCGAATCTATTTTTTAATAATTTTCATACTTTTTTACTCATCACGATATCAATCAAAATTGTCTGGTACCAACGAAGAAATAACCAGAAAGAAATAACCGCTTAATTTATTATGCGATTCTGAATAAGTGAAAGTTTCGGCAGGGCAATAAATTTAAATATTCCTATGTGGATCTCGACCGCGTCGAACACGAAGCATGGGTATCATCGGCGAAGCAGGCGTTCCTTTTCGCCGAGCAGAGGAAAATGCAAATTGCGCGAGGAGCGACCGTTCCGCGAAATGCGCCGAGTCGAGCCGAGCCGATTTTTGCCGGTGCTTCTCGCTCCGCGAAAGTACCGAAGTCTCGAGAGAATTCGAAGGAATTCCACTCACTCCTTTGATCGTCCTTCTCTTCCAATTTAACCTAATATTACATTCGTGTGCAAATTTCAGTTGTATTAATAATCTTGGTTAAGCAAGTGTGACTAAGTTTACAATTCTTTCTCAATTTTCTTTATAATTTAAAGAGCGGAAAACATTTTTCTAATCAAAATTAACGTTATAAATAACAGTAGTTTGAATGGCCTAAGACGTAATTTTTAATAATTTTTATTTAAAAATGAGGCTAAAAAGAAGGTATTTCGCAAGTGCAGCTCTGAACTAATAGTAGCTCGATAATAACACAAACATTGCGAATTGCATGTCGGATACTTGTGGCATTTAGAAACAGTATTCATAATCGTTCTTCAAAGGATAAAGATTTGTTAATAATATACATAAGCGTATTTGTACAGTACACAAATGTATAAATAAGGAATGCATGCTTCTGAAGGATCGACTATAAATACGCTTTGTATATCAAATGTAATCACGACAAAATTTCGAAAATATCGATCCTAACTGTGTGGAGAAAAGCGAAGCCGGATTGTGCGCGTAATGATGCGCACTTATGCAAATGCAATCCAAGATCTCTTCGAAGAAGGATCGCACGCGCTCACAGAGGTCGAGCAACGGTTTCCACGAAGGAGGAGACGAAAGACGAGGCACACGGAGAGCGGGCAATCTGTTTTCACTTTTGTGTTTTCCGGCTAGCCGGAGGGTTCCCGAGGGAGCGAGTCGAGATCGGTTGTCTCAGGGGCTCCGCGCGCGACGAGAAAGAGAGAAAGAACGCATGTACCGTGCGCTCGCGCTCACGAGTATCCGGGCGGTTAGATCGCACGCGAAATACAAAAGGAGCCAATTATAATGACAATGCGCCTTCTTCAGCTAGGCTGCCGCCAAGCCTGGGAAAGAAATTCGCCACGTCCGTTTCGCCGGCGGCGCGCTAACTACGGCACTGCCGTCACGCGTCATTGTATCGTAATCGCTCTCGAATATATATATATATATATATATCCATATGTATGTATATGTGTGCGCGGCCGTTTGACACGAGTAGAAATTCATAGGACATACGCGACATGAATTTCTTCCTCTCCATATTTATGCGCTTCGATGCTCCGTGCGCTCGAAACGGATTCCGGACGTTTCGCGCGGTCGCCGGAACGATTTCGCCGAGTTCTAGCAGCTACGGCTTGCACAGAGTATCTTACAGTTATAGTGATTGCAATTACGCTACAAGCTTAATTGATTACAATTGGCTGCAGCACTGATGATTACCGCCTGATATATAATGTTAAGAAATTAAACTGAATTAAATTAAATAAATGAGAGAATTAATTTTTAATTAATTTGATAAATTTTATGCATCTAATAAATTACACAGAATTAACAGACAAAATGTATATAAATAGTCAAATCAATAATCTTAAATTTGCTGACATAACTGATACTCTTCTTCATTTTAACCAGTGACTTCATCATTTCTCACATTTTTTTCTCACATAGCACAGACAATATTGTTAAAAGCAAAGGACGACAAGAAAATAAAATCACCAAACGATAACGAGCGCGGATAAGATCACTTATAGAAAGAGAAATCTGCAGGACGATCGGATTGGAGAATCGCGAGTGGTAAAGAGATCGCCATCGAGCGGCCATCCGCGTCCACGTCCGGGGGAATAAATCCCGAAATAAAGGGCCATTGTGTCGGTGGGAAAAGCGCCTTCCGCCCTTCTGACTCCGAGCTCGAGCCCGGGTTCTAATTCGTCCTGAATGGACTGAGGGTGAAACGTGAGACGGAAACGGGTGCAAGTGCACTGTGGACTAGTGTGCCTCCGGTACGAGCGATGGTTGAAAGAAAAAAAAAAAAAAACGAAGGAAGAGAGATAGAGAGGAAAAAGGAGAAGGCAGAAAAGAAAAGACAAGGAGAAGCCGGAACCAGTTAAGGGAACAAGTTGCGCTCGAGTCCCTTTACGCTAACCGGCTTCACCCTTTTGCATTCAGCACCATCTTCCACCAGCCTTTTCAATAACATGTGCGTTTTCCGAGCAATATATCGTGACAATTGTAGAATTCTCTTTTAGAAATATGGTAATCGACGTTGAGAACGTTCAACAGGTTTGTTAATTACAATTTTTGCAACAATAATTTTAAGACTTGTTCCATAGTTTTTTTTCCGAATTATACGGCGATTCAGCGAGCTATCTCGCGAGTTTATAACAAGTTAATGCCGTGTTTCCTTCTGATCGATCGCGATACTATAATATACTGCATTTATTATTTTTCTTTTTTAAATATTTTGTACGAAACATACCTCTGATGCGCTTCCGGGATGATGTCGTCGATCACAACGTAAATCATCGCACCGGCCGCAAAGGCAAGCGCATAAGGTAGCACAGGTGCGGCGAGCGTTACTCCGGCTGCGCCAAGGACACCGGCGATGGGCTCCACCATCCCCGAGAGCTGGCCGTACCAGAAGCTCTTCAGTGTACTGATTCCGGCTGCCTGAAGAGGCAGAGACACCGCCAACCCTTCCGGGAAATTTTGTATTCCTATCCCGATTGCCAGGTTTCTGTAACAAAATGTCATTTCAAATGTTATTTTTAATTTTGCGCAGGTACATACAATTAATTGCAAAGATTAATCCTACAACAGAACTTTCGATCTCTCGAAATTTTTCACTCAGAAAATATAGATTTTTTAATCGGTTATTTCATGTAATCATAAACGATGCTAATGCGATTAAAAGCATTGCAGCTAACTTTCTCGCGACATTAATCGCGTCGAAACATCCCGCTCTGAGAAGCGTAAGAAGTCCGTTCGCAAATTCTGTAAGGTGAAGGCATAAAGTTGCACCAATGAGTTGATATACAAAAAAAAATAGTAACCGTTCTGCCGTGAAATGGGAGAAAGAGAAAGAGAGAAGTACTTAGCGTGATCGCGCGATAAGAATGAAACCAAAGGAGACATGGTGACTCCGTGCAAGAATCAACTCTTGCGCGGACAAACACACATACATATATACATACATTCCGGTGCAGCAGTGAGTTCTTGAAACTGGTCGACGGCTTCGACATTCTCCAGATTTTTCCATCTCCGCGAGAGCGGAGCGGTGCACATGGAGAGCCGCGAGGCTTCCTAGATCTAACCGTGTACACCGCTCGCTCTTTCATGCCTACCGGAGAACGGCTAAGCTTACTCGACCAGGATCGCGGCTCATAAATAAGATGTCAATGAACGACGAAGCCTCGAGTTTCGCTTCCAGTTACGCGAGCTGCAAACGCCCGGCAACGACATAAAACTATCGACGGAATAGCTATAAATCGATATAACGTAATATGTGCATGTATCATTAATAATTAATTGCTATGATATTGGCTGCCCGACGCTGCTAGAAATCAAACCTTCTACATATTTAAATTTACATATAAATAATATGAATTTATTATATAACATTATTTAATGCAATTGCCTAAATAGTATTAATGAGTATAACGTTAGAGCATTCATCAATTTTTACATATGATTAAAATAATGATTTAAGGAACATTTAAATTTACATATGTGAAAGTGTGAGAGCGGCAAAATATTCCGCAGAATATATTAAAAAAGTATAAAACAATAAACGCGATATGTTAATGGCGCGATTGATACAAGAGAAGTAGAACGTTAACGTTATGAGTTCGCGAGACCTTTTTTCTCGACCTCCGTTCATCTTTGTCTCTCTTTTCCGCGACCTCGCGGACCGCCAAGCATGATCTATGGTCCAAGTAATAGCATGGTAGAATCACGTCGAAGAATGAAGGAGAAAGGCAGGCGGCGAGAGCGCGCGAGCGAGCAAGAGGAGACGAGGGAGTGAAGGAGCGGCGGAAGAGAGACGTAACAGGTGAATGAACGACGGGATTGCATACACAATCTAACAGCGGTGCCCGGCGGGATATCTCACATATCGCACACCGTCGCCGCGGAATTCTCCTCAACTTCGGAATATCATCGCTCCGACCGCTCTCCGACCCCTCATCCGCCAATCCCGCGCGACGAATCCTTCCATTCACTACTCCGAGGCGAGGAACGCGAGGCTGAACTTCGCGAATTCGCGGGAAGGAAACTTTGCGGATAAATTGACACGTAGATGGATTGAATTTCGCGAGATGTAAGATGAACTATTTATTCCTTGATATCTTATGTAGTACATAGATATAGAGTAACAGAGAGAATGAGTTACATCTCCTCGGAGACTGTTTCTAAAGTAGTTACCTATAATCCTAGCAGTTTAAATATACATAATGCTATATTAAATATTAATCAAAATATATGAACAATTTTTGCGAGTGCAGTTCGCTTGCATTATAAGTGAGAAAAAGAAAATTGAATTTATTTGAAAGTAAATATGAAATAAATTATATAATCCGGTTGCAAAATCATTATAATGATGAATACATTATCATTGTCTCTCTACCCCTCTTTCTCTCTCTCTCTCTCTCTCTCTCTCTTCTCTTCTTTCTTTCTTTCTTTCTCTTCCCATCAGTACTTCAATGGAATTCTCAGGATCGGGGTAATAGTATTCTTATAAAACTAGAACCGTGGCTGCAAGAACCCTATGGTTGAATTGAAGACGGAGAACGGTCGAGAGACCCGTTCTGTTAGCGAGATGATCCAATTCTAAGGCCTATAAAAAGCGAGAAAACGGTACCAGGCTTCATAGAGGAGACTAACTATTCGAATGAATGGCTTGACCGGACAGCGTCGCGCGCACGTACACGAAGCGACTGAAACAGAGAAAAACCCTTTGGTTCTGGTACGTGGAACGCAGTAACGAAGATCTTCCGCGATCTAGCTCCCGTAATTCGATATTCATGAGCACCAGACTTTTACAAGGCGAGCGTTGCAGCGAACAAGCTGTTCAGGGACTTGAGTCTCGCTAGTAATCATACTTTGCGACTTGACGAATAGCATCTTACAAATGTCTTATCGTGATAAGAAGTAAATCACCCCCAAGTTGTAATTATTATTTCAAATATAATTAGCACTTTCTTGAATTTTAACAATTTTTTGTTTTCAAGATAATGGCGTGCTTTTATTTCAAAATAAAATATTTTGGATATATTATGTTTTCCTCTGAAAAAATTCTGCTTATGTCAGCAAAAATTAAAAATCTATTAAAAGTGTATTTTTGAATATCGCAATTTTTATGCAAACTGGATTTTTGCAAGTTTAGTAAGCGGTGGTATATGTATATTGCAAAAACGGAATTATTCTGTCAAGAACGAAGCATCTGGTCAGGTTGTACAATAAAAACATCTATTTCCAACCGTGCAAAAATATTGCCGTTAGCGATTCGAAAAATCGATACGTTTGCGTCATCCGCAAAAATAGCCGTGAATGCAAGCGGATCGGTACGAGACGGAAAAAGCTCAGAATCGAGCGATGTAGACGCGATACAGTACATTCTTCCGCGATTCGCGACGCGGCAAATCGTCGATCCGCGAACAGTCAGGATTTACAAGAAACAATAGATCAGTGCGAGCGGCAGCAGAACGACGGCGGGGTCGGCAGACGGCGACGGCAGACGGGTCGAGCACAGGTGAATGAATGACGTGATCCGCACTCTCTCGCGCAAGGATTCATCCAGTTCCAGTATAAGGCGGTTCCTCCCCCCCCCCCCCGCGCGAGCGCACGAGATGGGAGCGGGCTTTGCGCGCAAACCTCGGCGAGAGGTATGTCATGTCGCGGTGTGTCGCGCGTTATTTCATGGGACGACGGAATCATCATCATCGTTATCGTCATCGTCGCCGCCGCCGCCGCCGCCGCCGCCGCCGCCGCATTCCTACGGCGTCGAAGTACATAAGTGGTTGTACAGTTAACCCGTCGGGTCCGGCTGTTCGCCGGTTGCACCGGGGGAGGTCACCCGAGTTCCGAGAATGATCGTCCCCGTCCGCCGCGCTTCGCCCCGCCACCTCTCATACTTGTAGCGTACGCGAATGTTGTATTGTCTGTCTTTCTCTCCTGGCTGCCGCGGCACGAATGCGGTTGTCTCCCTTCCTGTGGGTGCCCCACTACCATCACCGACCCTTCGAGACGCGCACTACCACCGCCAACTACCATCACCACCGCGCGCGCTGGTGGGTTCGGGTGCCGGGACTTCTTTTCCTTCCTGAGTTCCTTCTGCTTTCCACGGTCAAGGGCCCCGTACCTACTCCCGACTCCGTCTACCACGTTCGCCAGACGGCTAGGAGTGACGACGAATTGTTTTGGGACTAAGGAAACGGGATTCGGATCCACCGTTCGTACCGCCATGTATTCGATATATTAAATTTATCGCGACAAACAATTAAATTATAAATTGTCATATACACATGGCAGAATACAAACAGAAGTACAAGTGCAATATTGGCCATTAATTCGTAAAAGTATGCAGCACGTCGAATTTATCATGAAAAAATACACGAGTAGATTTTTTCAATTTTTTAAAATTGAAAACTTTACGTAAAAAAAGCTGTCAGCATAGTGAAAGACTAAGTGAAGAGATGAGTTTATTCATAATTATTCTTTATAGTTTTTGAAATGAGTAAAACATAATTTAGAAAAGCAGAATCTCGTTCCAAGATTGTTATTTTAGGCACTTTTGGCTACTTTTTGTAACGAGTTACTTTAATTGCTTAATTACCTAAATCTTCGAGATAAGTTTGACGAGAGCGAGATATGCGCGACGTATTAATTAGCGCCGACCTTTCTCTGACGCTAATCGTATTACCGCAACGTTTTATGCGTGGCTAATCTGCCTATTAGCGAAGCTATCATTCTTTCGTGCGAGCGCGAGCACACAACAGCACAGACGCGGCTGCACGCTAACCTGAGGCTGCAAAAGATTCGAATGCAGGGGAGCAGCCAGACCGAGCGGGCACGGTGGGCGAAGGCGAAGGTACGACGAGAGCAGCCGGGTAGATAACCTTAGGAACAGGGAGGCTGTGTGAGAGCTCTCTCGTAGGGAGCGGAGGAATGCTTCGTGCGAGGAGTGCTCAGAATCCGGGAGAAAGTATTGGCGAACAAGTCGATACGCGCGCGTAGAGATCCACGACGAGTTTTCAGGAGAGAACTTTTCTAGTGAAACCCGCCGGCTTTTTTGCATGACTATCTTAATTGACGCTTCGCGCTATATCAACGAGCGAACGATAGCTGTGACGATGAATATGTATTTCGATAGAAAAGAATAGGATAAGCCATCGGCAATCATTAGTTACAAAATGGCACATCGATTTCTAAAATCTTTTTCTACAAAAGTGCTTGGGAGATTCAGGCACGCTCCTCGTGCAATGATTGCATGATAAAATGTAACCAATTGTCGTCTGTATATTATGGATCCAAGAAGGATAAGCTTGTAAAAAGATCATTTAATTTAAGAGAACGTAAAAAGGTATAAATTTTTAACTCTTGTCTTTTCAAAATTTTAAAATTTTTTAAAGTCTAGTAACTAAAACATTTTGTACTTTCTATTTCTTTCTTTTTTTACAGTTTAATAGCGATAATTCTGTTGAGTAAAAGACAAACATGGCAAACATGTATAATCAATAA